TTGTTTGTGTTTCTTGAGTCATAGGAAAAATATAAATTTTTTGGTTTGTTTGTGTTTCTTGAGTCATAGCAAATTTTTCCAAGTTCGGAATCAAAATGTTTCAGTGTCAAAATTTTTTGATGTGTCCAAAACTTTTCCATTCTGCCGGATGCATCCGGACGGATTTGATTGCGCGTCCAGAAGCAACAGTTATAAGATTCATAAAATTTTTCTACGTGTCAAAACGTGTGGACACCATTCTTTTGAGTGCATTTGGACAGACAACTTCACACATCTGGATTGGGAACACGTTTCCGGATGCATCTGCCCGTCTTGTGTCCGAACTGATCGACACACGCGTTTGGAGGCGTGTTTCAGAACTTTTAAATGAGGCCTTCAAGCACTTTTTTCAAGTTTACCTCAAAATTTTAAACTCACATCACCAAGAGTACCTACATCGAAGAGAGCTAGGACTTCTACACAAGGTGCTCGAGAAGGCGAGGATAGGACTTTTGATGAGCACCGATTTCGGTTGAGTGTTAGTTCGATTATTTGTTCAAGAGGTTAGGATGGATTTATAGGGCATGTTAGGCTCGGGGTGAAAGTGTTGGTGAGAAAGTCATATAGTAATGCTGATGATGGTGGGGATGGGAGTTTTCGTGCATTTGTTAGGCGGAGGTTGATTTGGGTGGATCCTAAAGTGATTGCTCATGTGGATAGGATGGACCAGTGTAGGGTGACCAATCCTAATTACCCTTAGACTTATACTGGGGATTTAGTTGCAAGAGAGTTGCTGGGTAATCTTAAGTTTAATTGGGTGGAGAAGGATAAATTTCTACAACAAGGAGATCTGACTGCTAAATATAATATACTGAACTTGATTTTAGTAATTAATATGATGCATTTGATGAGGAACAACCACATCTACCCAGAAAAGCTACTTTTTTGTATGCTATGGGCACTGGGCAGTCCATTGACCTCCCACTTTGATTTTGAGGGGATGATGAAGGGGGTCCTGGATGAAAAGAAGGGATCTCTCCCTTTTGCGGGATTGGCCACGACATTGTGTTTGTATGTAGGTGTGGTACCTGCAGCCAATATGGAGCGGACCAAGAAGGTCATCGTCCTAAACTCTAGCTCGCAGCTGAAACACCGGAGTGTGACAAGGGCGAAGAGAGGTCAGCCTGCAGGTGTCAGTAGAAGAGTAGATGAATCAGTACCTCGATCTGGAGGAGGATTCTGATGAGCCTGTTGATGAGGCTACTGACCCCTAGGACTGATAGAGAGTTGCTATTTTGCTATATTGAGGGGTCAGAGAGAGGCAAATAAGGAGAGGAAGCAAATGAGGGCCCAATTGACTAGGCACGAGGCATATTTTTAGGGTCATGAGTCAGAGTTCCCGGGACCACCCCAGTCCATCTTTTTAGAGCTCCTAGGATCTCTTCTATGGCCCCAGTCTTTTTTGATATAGTTTTACTATGACTTAGGGGGTCTTGAGTTTTTTTTTTTTTTTTTTGTGATCAAAACCAGTTGTTGGTAGTTGAGTCTATGACTTGACCATTCTACATTTTTGGTATGTAGTTCGTTAATGCATTGTAGTATTAATGAATAGTGTCTTTTTAGTATTTTGTTGACATCATAATATGAGAATTATTTGCTATGCTTTAAATTTGCAGCTGCTTATGTATCACATAGAAATTCACTCTATATTTTTATATCCCATATCATGATTTTTATAAAAAAATTATAATTTGTGCACTTTAAATTGTAACAAGTTTGAAATTTATTTGGTATTTTACCTTGAGAACTTGAGATAAATAGTGGAGATGCATAAAAATCTTGGTGAGTTTTGATCCAATCTTCTTGAAGGGTGCTTTACATTTATTCAAAAGAGTAATTTTATTTTGCTAATTCATTTGAATAGTCTCATGATTTAGTTTTCGTTATCAGCAATATTGTGAGGAGTTGCTTGACTTTGAATTATTTGCATAGGGAATGTGTTGCCAAGAGTTATTGAGATATGATTTTAGGTCATCTTTGTTATTATTTGAGCCATAGCTTGATTTCTTGAATATTCTTAGATGAGCCTTTTTGAAGAATATTTTTGTTTCTTACACCGCATATACAAAACCAAGCCAACGAAAAAAAAATATCTTTTACCCTTAACTATTCCAAGATTGAATTGTTATTGCTTATAATTGGGGGATGTTGGTTGAGAAAAAATTGATCAAAAAGAAAAAAAAATGCGAGAGACAATTTGTCTAGCTTGAAAAAAATAAAAGCAAATAATAAGCATGTTTTTGAAAAAAAATGTATGTGAGCAAGCATTGTAAATTATGCTTCTAGAGGATGATGGGCGAAAGACTATAGAAAAAAATTTGGCTGTATAATGTACATGTTCTCTTAGGATATGGTAAACAGTGCTATACTTACCATATCATTTACCAAATTTTGTATCAAAAATTAGATGGTTAGATCAGTGTGGTCCTTTAACTTCCATAAATATTCAATGTATAAAATTTTAATTTATCAATTAAAATAGAACAGTCTAATAAATAAATTTGAAAAGAACAGTTTTATCTCTTACTACTTGATAGTGCCATGAGAAGTGGGATGGAGTCATAGAGACTAAGACTAATGGGTCAATCTACATTCTCCTAAAATATAAGGTCGTCGAATATATTTTTTTTCTTAGTTTTTATAAATTATTAATTATAAATTCAATTACTAGTTGTGAAAAATCCAACGGTGTTAAGTTGTGTTCGAACTGATGATGCACAAAAGTGGATTTATGCACCATCTATTGAGTAATTAATATGGCAAATAAATGCAGTAAATATAAAGATAAGACCAACATAGGTCACACATAGATAAAGAGTGGTTCGGTCACGGTGGCCTATATTACTTCGAAGTTGGCAATGTTAGACAGAGTACTTTATTGATAAAATAGCAGGTGGGAGAGAGAGAGAGAGAGGGAGCAAAAATAAGCTCAAGGTGACGTGATGTGTCTCTGTGTGAGAGATAGTTGTGAGAGAGATGTCCTTTTCTTATGTGTAGAGGGCCTATAGTTTATAAACACAAAGGCCTAGCTAAGGTGGTGACGTGAAGGTCACGCTACTAGTCTTTCGGGGAGGATAGCTACAACTAAGGATAGGTATTATCTTCGAGTAATGGCTATCCCGATGTTTACTTTCCACGTGCATTGATCTTCCTTGACTCTTGAGCATTGTACTGGACTGAAGTCATGAGCTAAGCCTAGTCTAAATCTGGGTCTCGTCATTTACCCCTCATGCCCCAAGCCTCAGTAGGGATACGGGGATTGAGGGTATCTGTGAGCTCCTTCATTTGGGTAGACCAAGGTACCTTGTTCCACACGGTGGCTTCTTCTGTTCAGCTTTCTTCTCCATTGTATTTTCAAAGCTTATTTGTCTATTTAGTAGTGCTATTGTTGAAAAGAGGATGAAGAGAAACATGGACGTTTTGGCGTGTGTTGCCATGGAAAGGGAGAGAAGCTTGGGTGGCGCCATGGATATGAACCTGGGCAACACCAAGGAAGGCATGAGGCTAGGCAGTGCTATGGACGACACCATTGAGGACCCAGGCAAACTGATGATGTCTTTGGTTTCTGAAAATTCTCTTTTTCATACGTGATTTGGTGGTTGATAAATCAATGGTGAAGGCTCTCTATGTCACTAGGATGATGACTTCCCCTCTTCCCAAGAGGGCAAGGTCTGACGCCCTCAATGCTTTCTAGCTGAGTTTTGATGGTTCTACTTTTTTCAGAAGGCGGGGTCTGATGGTGTGCAGACTATTTTAGAGATTGAGACCGGAGCTCTAAGTCATTGTCCTACTTTCGACAGTGGCTTGGTGCCCATCATGCAGGACGTGAATTCGATTGAGGAGCATCTTTGGAGGTTTGTGACAACCTTGGATATTGGAGAGGTCGGCTCTTGGGCTCTTGAGAGTGACATGATAACATGGTGGAGGGCTTTGCTATGGTACTCCTATTTTCTATGGACCCTTGTCTTTTGTATATTTTGGCCACATTGACACCCTTGCTTTTGGATACTCGCAGATGGCTATTGGTTTTTTGTGCTTTTGAGGATGCTCAAACTCGATGAGGTGTTGGGAGCTTTGGTAGAAGAGAGGCGGGTGCGCTAGGATGCTAAGGAGTAATCAAGGTTGAGCACATCTTAAGGCCGAGTTTCTGGAAATGAAGGCTACTCAAGAGTAGGGGCAGGAATTAGGCTAAGCTTTAGACAACTCTTGTGAGAGCCGCTAAGTTGGAGACATAGTTTTCTTGAGAGTCGAGGCAAAGTGAGGCCGAATTTTTGGCAATTCAAGTGAGAGCCGCTAAGCTGGAGACATAGGCTGCATGCGTGAGGGCAGAGGCAGAGTTAGACCGAGTTTTTGACAACTCTCGTGAGAGCCGCTAAGCTAGAAACATAGTCTGCCTACGTGAGAGTAGAGAGAGAGTGATGCCAAAATTTTGGCAACTTTCGTGAGAGCCTCCAAAAGCTCGGCCTTATTCTGCATCTACTCTCATGCAAACAGTCTATGTCTCTAGCTTAGCCTTACGAGAATTGCCAAAAGTAAAGGCAGGGTGAGATTGAGCTTTTTGGCAACTCTCTTGAGAACAGCTAAGCTAGAGACATACTCTGCTTGAGTGTAGAGGCAAAGTGAGGACGAGATTTTGGCAACTCTTGTGAGAGGCATTGGTAGCATAGAATCGCCAGTGCATGGGCGTCGAGCAAATGAGACGAGGTCACCTGATGCATCAGGAGGGTGACGTTGATCACAAAGGGCACCGCTGGATGAGCTGGGCACATAGGCAGTACACCCAGGAAACGAAGCAGGCGAGGAGGTGAGGGTATCATTTTTAGGGCCAGAAAGGTCAATATATATATAGGTCTTGAGCCACCCCATATTCTTTACCCAAATACCATTCCTTTGGAGGCTAGAGTAGTTTCCTTACTCTCTTCTACCCCACAAGTAATTGAGTGAGGTCGAGCGCAAGGATCATGGAGGCCAGGGGAAGACCTCAAATAAGAGCTCCATGGGTGGCTCCATGGTGGAAGCCGCAACGAATGAGAAGAGAGGCAAGACCCTGGATGATGGAGGCATCACGAGCATGGATGACGACGTTAGCAGAGGGAGCAAGGGCGCGCAGGTGTGCGGGTGCACGGGCACCATTGGGCACAACGCTAGGCGTTGGTGGGTACAGGCGCTAGGCGCTAGGAAAAATGCCTATGACTCATAGTTCCAAAAAATCTCGATCGATTTCTACTTAGAAAGGATCGCTTAGGGAATCGATGGAAGATGCCCTAGGAGCATTGAAACGACACCAACACAATGAGCAAGTTGGGCTATGCCAGGGGTTGCTTGGACGGTATGGAGATCCCAAATGATGCCAGGGCTGGTCTAGGTGGTGGTCTGAGCAATGCCTAGGAGGCTTGGGCAACGCTAAGGGATGCGTCTGTGCGACGCCAAGGATGCTTAAACGAGGCATGAGCGATACTTGGGAGGCCTGGGCAAGGACACCAAGATAGTCTAGGCGACGCCCTTGTCGACAGAGGTGACACTAGGAAGTTGAGGTAGGGTGACGCCCATAGGTAGCGACACTAGCAGGCAGTCGAGGCAAGGCGACGCTTGTGCACAAGAGGTGGCGCTAGGGAATGGCGCTAGGCGCTGGGTGACACCCTTGCTGGGCACTGGGATGTAGGCGACACCCATGGTGTAGCGGTTTGGGCAACGCCTTGGAGCAGCAATCTAGGCAAAGCCAAGATGCTCTAGCGACACAAAGGATGGCATGCGCAGGCTTTGCTGCTGGTGATGAGATGCTAATCGATGGCACTGGTGCTGGGTGGAGTATTAGAAAAGCGTAAAGAAACGACAAAACTTTGAGCAGGTATAACTTTGCGATTGGTTTGTCTGTTTGAGGCAAAGTTTTTTTGAATTCGGGTATTTTTTTTAGATCTACAAGTGTCAAATAGCCAAAGGCGATTTGGGCACCAAATTTTCCTAAAAAATGCTTACTTTTCACTAAATTTGAATTTTAAACACAAATTAGTGAAAAAGTAAAATTTTATTGGGTCTACTTTTCACCTGTGGTGGCGCAACCTTGTCATGGTGTGGTGGGTCATCTTTTGCTTGGTGGTTCATTAATCCAGTTGTGGTTGGCACCAAACTGATAATCAAATTGCTTCCCATAGATGACACCAAACTGATAATGCACAAAAGTGAATTTATGCACCATCTATTGAGTAATTAATATAGGTAATAAATGCAGTAAATATAAAGATGAAATCAACATAGGCAACACATAGATATAGAATGGTTCGGTCAAGGTGACTTATTCCACTTTTGAAGGCGGCAATGATGGTCAACTGATTTTATTGATAAAATAGTAGGTTGGAGAGAGAGAGAGAGCAAAAATAAGCTCAATGTGAGGTGATGTGTGTCTTTTTTAGATGGCTTACAATTTATGGGCACATAACCTTTT